TGAACCGTCTGAATATTTGGGGGACACTTTGGGCGCAGGGAACACCTGCAAAGACTCTGTGTGGATGGAGCGGAGTAACAGAGGGGGAATATAAGATGAGGTGAGATAAGGGGCTCTTGGGCTTTCCTAGAGAGCCTCTATGTTAGGCTGTTAATGATCTAGGTGGATTAGTAGATGAAACAGAGTCTTGGCAGCAGCGGTGACTCCAGGGGAGGGTCGTTATCCGCCCTCTTCGGCTGTTCCTTGGCCGCCGTGGCGCTGGTACGGTCCTAGGCAGTGACCCTCAAGATGCCGCAACAGCTCTGCGCAACTGAGTACATCTTCCTCAGCAGGATTCCTGTGATTGGCCGATCTGCGAGGCCCTGTAGCCAATCAGCTGCCGGTCCAGAAGGGCTTGCCCACCTCTCCTTGGCAAGTTGACAGCCACGTGGGCAGCGACTGGGCGCGCTACTGCCCTCTGCCGGGCTCGCGCAGTTGTGCGCAGGCGCAGTTTGCTCTGCTAAACTGGGGCGTGGGTTAGGGTCCACGTGTGTTAGGTGGTGGGGTTGCTGGCTGGGCCACGGCCTTCAGAGCTTCCGGTGTCCCTCTCTTGAGGTAGTCATAGCTCTTGTTTTCCCATTTATCCTCCCAGAAGTCTATTTAAACGCCAGTCTTTACATATTTGAGGTACAGTATGTATTAACACAGAACACAGTATGATGTGAGGCCCCACTGCAGAATCTTTAACACGCCATCCTGGAAAGAACCTTACGAAAAGCAGCAGCTTCACAGTGCAGGATTCTGGCAGACACTGCCTTAACCAAGCAAGGACCAAGATCACCAGCGATGAGTCATAGTGACATCATGAAGCCCCTGGTATGATGCACTGAGAAAGGTGCATCATCACCTCTCTGGTATCCCTCCTAATAATGCAAAAACTGCAATCGAATCAAGACAAACCAAACTGAGAGACAGTATACAAAATAACTGTCCAGTACTCTTCAACAATGTCAAGGACAGTCACAGACTGGCAGAGTCTGAGGGAAATGATTATTAAAACAATGAGGGAGCCAGGCTCGGTGGCTCAGCCTGTAATCCCGCGCTTTGGGAGGCTGAGGTGAGTGGATTGCCTGAGCCCGCGGGTTCGAGATCCGGCTGGGCA